TAAAAAGTTCTACATTATAACTGACTAACTGATTACTTAAGTCTCATATCCAATACAGAATGTTTGTTTATTCCGTAGTAGATCACATGTGACAAGAAGCTTTATTGGCTAACTTCTTTCACATATGTTCTATTCTTCAGAAAATCTTTGATTGCACAATACATTTGAATTCGATATTCTCCCTCTTGGTGATAACTTCTAGGTTGACACTCTACTGCGAGTAGCATTCAGCACACCTTTATTATTGTTATTATGATCAATAGAAGGGGTATTGATGATATTAGCTCTTATGAGTTCAAGCATTTGATCTACATTTGTAAAACCATGCATTCGAGTTCGTTCTATGGTTGAACTGAGTTTAATAAGATCACTCTCCATTAATGGAAGAAATCTATCCTAGCACATTAGTTTATTTGATAAAATTTATACAAGATTATCAATATGGGGATAGTTGAATTCCATTAAAATTATGTACTGATCATTGTTAGACTATCACTGAACAAAACTAGAGGGGCACTAAACATTTGTTTCATCCCAGTATGTGACTCCTCGACAGCGCCCATCCAACACCTCGCATGCTATCATGATTTTTGTTGGTGGTCTATCACGGATCAGTCTGTTGTTGGATTTCAGTGAAATCCAGACGAACATTCCCAAAGTTCTAGTCAGAAGCCATGACCAATGGAGTTCAACCGTGTTGAGTGTGAAACAATTACCCATTAAAGACCATAGTAGATGGTCAGTCATTTGAGAGATTATTGTGAAATGGCACGTACATTAATTCTGAAATATGAAAATAGTATTCACCAAAATTCGAAGATTAGAAATCATAGTTAAATAAAAACCGAAAGTGTTCATTACAGATTACTAACAGATAGATAACAAGTAAATTTCATGATCACTTAAACTTCATCGTCAAATCTTTAACCAACTAGATATTTTCCATCAAGTTACCCTTTTCACACTCGACTGATATTCAACCTAATTACCACATTTTCATCATGTTCGAAAATAATTTCCTTTCTATTAATGAAGAGTTGTATATTTTTGAATAAAAAAATATTGATTCGCTTAATATCGATCAACAAATTGAATTCATAAATCGATCAATAGTAGACCACTATCGGTAACCTGGCAAACATTGGCTAGCCATTTCATCCGACTATAAGACATGTCAGCAGTGCACAGCCATGACCGTTGGGGCAAGGGTCGAACCTAGCACCAACGGTCTCACACAGTAAACGCTTTACCTTTGGACTAACGATGGTCGATCATTAGTCAGTTCATAATGTCAATCTAGTTCAACAAACTCCTTATCCACATACTCAGCAACGTCTTCTGTTTCAAAATCAATTTTTTTTTCAATAATAATATCAAAATGAAATCATTTTTCTCGCTCATTCAAATGATCGATCATTCCTGTTGTATCTATCTAACAAACAAGAAAGTACTGGACGGCCGTCTCGTCCTGGTAAGGGACTACTCATCAGTGGCAGTGCGCATCCACGACTCCTACTCCTCGCAGGATTCGAACCCGCCTAACTATCGGACCACTGGGCCGACATCCAACGGTGTTAATGTCTAACTCTGATTGATCTAGGGATTTTGTGCGACCTCACCCATTTATTTGTCTTTGGTAGTTAATGTCTACACACGACAGGGTTGAACTTCATTGGTCACGTCTTCTCACTACTAGAACTCCGAGAATTTCCTCACGAAGGTAGTCACTAGTGAGCACTGTTACGATATTTTTAGGCAGAGTTTTGGAGGTTTGTGTTTTTAAACATTTGAAATCCGATCGTTAGGCGTTCGCGCCCAATACCGAAGGACCCGGGTTCGAATCCTGAGAGGAGCAGGAGTCGTGGATGCGCACTGCCACTGATGAGTAATCCCATACCAGGACGAAACGGCCGTCTTTCAATGCTTCCAGGTTTCTAATGGTGGTCTAACAGCGATTGATTGATTGATGATTTCAAATGTGTAAAAACACAAACCTCCAAAACTCTGCCCCCCCCAAAAACAACAAAAAAGTGTTCTATCGACCACCAGATTACGTAACTATAGTTATTCTTATGTAACACTGGTATCTATCTAATCGGACAGCATAAAAAACTCCATGTCGTTGTACAAACAGAAAAAAATCCAACCTACTAATTAAAATCAGTAGTAGTAACTTAGCTCCGTTCTTTTTTTCTGTTTTTCACTTGGTTTGTTGTGTTTTTGCCCCGTTTTGTTTTAATTGAAGGCAAACTGTAACTGTTAATTTCCTATAATAGCAAACCGTCACAAAATCTGAATATACATATATATGTTATCATTATTGACTCAGAGATGGGCGACTGAAGCAACTGTGTTTTTCCACAATCCCAGTTGTTAGTTGTTGTTGCCTTGTCTGTGTTCATTTCTCTTCACAATAATTAATTACAAACTAAGAAGCGTCTAATTGAATATTAATTGATATGAGGAATATTGTTTTTAACAGTTAGACAATGAAGTTAGTTTGATTATTTTATATTATATACTGTAAAATCATGGGTGAGACGGTAACTCATGTCATACAGTTACTTAATAATTATTTTTGAAGTTGATGGGATTAGTGCAGATGCAAGATGGATTTGGATGCATGTGAAATCTGAAGAATAGTTTTTTAATTATTATTATTATTCTATTTTCTGGTTAGCGTTTTCTTAGGAATGCGGTGGCCAATTTCATGCGCAAGCCATCTTCTTTATACGGGCTTGGGGTTGGCAGTAGCCCCAAAAAGGGTTCCAGGCGAAGGAATGAATATTTATATAGATTGGTTAAAAATCTATCCTCTGTTTGTTTGAAAGTTTAGAAAGAAAAAACTTACCCTGTAATAACAGTGTGAACAGTAATTACAGCGTACCAGAGTATAAACAACAGTCGATTGCTCTGTCCAATGTTTACAATATTCTGTCAATAATCAGTTACATCGGCACCTGAACTAGTAGTAGGAAGTGAAGTAGTTAAACATGTCGACCGCTTCACTTATCTTGAGAGTTTCATCAGTGCTGATGGCCTAGTGAGTGACGAAATCTCACCACGGATACAGAGAGGGCTCGACTAAGTTTTTACAACGTATAGCTTAGGAGAGATATTAGTTTGCTAACCAAAGGATGAGTCTATTGTACAGCAGTTCGCTACATCCTACTTTATGGCTGCGAAACATGGCTGGTCAGAGTTGAGGATGGTAGTAGGTTATTAGTATTCGATCACAGGTATCTACAAAGTATTGCTCGAACATCATGGGACAATCGAGTAAGCGATGCCATAGTTAGGAAACGAGTCCCCTAGATAAGGATGGCAAATCAATAGATGAAGTATTGAAACTTCATCAGTTGAGGTAGTTGGGACATATTGTACGTTTGCATAAGCACTGACTGCCTTGACGAGCAATGCTATGTGCTGCAAGAGTAAGTTAGAAGAAAGCTACGGAAGCCCAAACCAAAACATGGCAGAAATCCATCAAGTCACTGACAAGTGGACTGAGTCATGTTGGTAGATGTAGGCTACCTGGTTGGGGTCCGTGAGATGAGAGTAACCAATGGTTAGAGACTTTGAATTGCATGGCTCTAAATCGTTTTCAGTGGCGCTGATACCATTCACTCTTCCTCCTCTGTCAAATCTTAATCTTCTGAATACCTAATGACCGTGTTTTTCTCTTTTTTTAACTGATTCCTTCTGGATATACATCGCGAACGATAAGTTCAATCATTAATCTTTTTGGTAACTGCTTCTTTGTGCTAATGTGGTATGTCATCTTGAACTGATGTAAGTAAGTTCTACATGACTGACTGACAATAATCAAAACAAATACAAGGTGCATACAAATATGGAAACTTTTATGTTTCAGTAAAAATCTAAGAAACGTACAAAGTCGAGAATAAGTTCGACAATTATTTAGAACGAATAATTTTGACAATGAATATAAGGAAAGTCATTAGTTGATGTGAATACCTTAGAATAAAACTTGCGTTACACCATAAGCTTAGAAATTATTAGAAATACGACTGCTTACTGAATTATTAACAAGTAGTATGAAATAATACACAAAAATAAGTACGGAAAATGTAAACGAACTTAACATTCTGTGTGGATTGTTTTCTACTGATCGAATTTCCATGGACATACTCAACCGAAACATCAGCTGTCTATTGAGCGTGCTATAATTTCTTAATAGCTGATTAGAGTACTTATTGACAATGATGTTCCTTCAGTTTTGAGTAGTAATTCACTCTTAAATCGATAAACTGATCACTAATTTAGATCAAATATTGATTTCTTTATAGGGATTGGATTTCAAAAATCCCAAGACATTTTTTGATTAAAAACCAAAACTCTTGGTTTTCAGTGAATGCTTTTTATTTCGAAATCATGAATCGACCAATGTTAGACTACTATCTAAAATCGCTGAAAGTCGGCCGTTTCGTCCCGGCATGGGAATAAGCATCAGCAGTGCACCTCAGCGACTCCTGCTACTCACAGGATTCGAACCCCGGTCTTTCGGTCCCGCGCAACCCCTGGACAATTGAGCCGTCACCGAACGGTGTTAGTTTCCAACTTCCATCAATCCAAGGTGTTGCGCAGCCTCATCCACTGTTTTTACTCGACTTAATCTGTATTGAAATCTCTAGCTATTCAACCTACGCTTGGCATTATAGAATAAGGCTAAAAATAACTTCAACCTGAATCCTTGACACTAATAGGTATCGTTTTGATAAATTCAAAATATTTCAGATCGAAATCAGCGTTCTGAGATTCGAAGTCAGATCTACTCCCACTTGAAGTCCAACTAACTCCATACTTCGCCATCTCTAACAATACCATTTAAACAACATTATTTCTTGATAAACTATTATTCATTTGACCATAATTCATTGATAAAATGCTTACATTTCATTTTGTATCATGTTTTGTTTCTAACAGGTATCCAAACATAACTACTACTATTACCAATAACAGTAATAATAACCGTACTAATGGAACTTCATTATCCATCAGCTTATTCAACACCGACTACTTTAATTAATTCACAAATTAATGATTTATATCCAACGAATTCTGTTGATAATCATCATCATACTACTACTAATACTACTCATCCTACTATTACTACTACTACTGATCAATTGTGTTCAGTGTCACCTTCATTTGAATTATCAACAAATCAAAATCTATATTATTTAAAACAGTATCAAAATAATACTGATGATTATAATAAAATTGAAAATTTAACAAACAGTTTACTCAATAGTGAACAATATGATACAATTAAACCATTCGATTTATTAGAAACCAATTCACAATTCAATTTTGGTGAATCCTCTTCAAGTATGGAAATTAATGAAAATTTAACCAATTGTTTTAATCAGACAAACGAAATTGAACATAGTACACCAAGAAATTGGTGTTTAAGTCCATCTTGGAAAAAAAATCAATATGTTCACTATTCTTATACAAATTATTCACCTGATACTTATCATCATCATTATAATGAACAAATACTACAGCAGAATAATCAAACCAATGAAACGTTGAACACATGTCAATTGTTCAATAATTTATTTTATGAAAATGCGATCGATAATAATTATGATATAGTGAAAACAACGGAACACGTTCAATTGTCTAATCCGTTAGGATTGAATTTTGATCAATATGACTCATCATTGTATGCATCATGTCAACCTTTCAATACTACGAACACTACTATAACTACTACTACTATTAATACTACTAACAGTTCTACGATTATTGATAACAGTGAATCAAGCGGTCAGTATAAAAAAGATAATCCTACAGATTACCTGATGAAATTACATCAGCATTTCCCGCCGGCTCCTGATGACCAACCAGTGATTTATCCAATAAATGACGATGAGAATTTACATATGTTTCAAACAAATCCAATCTTGAAATCGGAACATCTTATCAATGCCAGAACAAATAATGAACATTGTTGCTGTCACTTATGTTGTCCCTTAGAAACTACTAATCCTATTATGAAAGCATCTCAGTCAAATGTTTATCAATCAAATTGGACCAATTATCCTCAAACAATATTTAATCCTTGCTCTTCTGCATCATTATTGAATTTCCCGCATTTTTCATTCAATGATCAATATGTCAATAATAATCAAGTTAGTGTTGATCATAATAATAATAATAATGATGAAAATTTAATTGTACATAAAAGGAAACATTATAAAAAGCGTTTTGATCATGAAACTAATCAGAAATCTCAACAACAACAACACCAACACCAACTCGTCACGCCGACGATGACGCCAACGTCGATGCCAACAGCGGCGACAACAACAACATCAGCGGCAACAACAATCTCTTCTAGAAATTCACAGAATACATCAAAGTTGACTATGTTATTTCCAATTAGTATGGAACAATTAACGAAACTTCTTCCACCAGTTTCATGTGAACAAATCTGTCAAATACTACATCGATATAATCCACCTAATACAATGGCACAATTTCAAACAATACGTATTGATCATTTGTTTACGCCTACATCAAACACCACATCAAATACCACAATAAAAAATTATCCTATTTATTTTCGATTAAGAGAACAAAAAATTTGGTCAGATATATTTTTGCATAATACAGAAATGATAGCTACAAATACTGGAAGGTAAATTAATTAATTGTTAATTGAATCGACGATGTATATTTGATTCTATTTTCAATTTATCTGTAACCACATGGAAATTGAAACTTGAATGCTTGTGATTTTAAATATCAATGAATCGTGGCACTAATCAACCATGATTTAACGAATTAACTTGTTGTTATACCAGCATAAGAAGAAACCTGGAAGCACTGAAAGACGGCCATTTTGTCCTGGTATGCGATGACTACGCATCAGCAGTTTTCATCCATGAGTTCTGCTACTCACAGGATTCGAACCCAGGACGTCAGGTCTTGCGCGTGCGAACGCTTAATCTCTTGACCACTTACCTGACACTCAGTAGTGTTAATGTCTAACTTTGATCAATCTAGGGATTGTTTGCGCGACCTCATAGATTTGACTTTCTCAGTTACTGCCTACTGCCGACAGGGTTGAACTCCATTGGTCACATCTTCTCACTAGAACTCCGATAATTCCCTCACGAAGCTAGTCACTACTGAGCAAATTTTACGATTTCTTTCAATTACAGTTATGGAGATTAGTGTTTTTACACACTAAAATCACCAATCAATCATTGTTAGACCTGGGTTCTGGGTTCGAATCATGCAAGTAGCAGGATTCTTGGATGCGCACTGCTGATGCGTGGCCTGATACCAGGACAAAACGGTGGTCCAGTGCTGCCAGATTTCTAATTGTAGTCTAATAATGATTGTTTGATGATTTCATTGTGTAAAAACACTAATCTCCATAACTGTAATTGCGAAAAAATATCATTGCAATACAAAATTTGTTAGAATTTCAATTGACCTTATCATTAAGATTGTGTACTTCGTTTAACATAAACAGATCAGAGCAGTTTCGTAGTTTAAATTATAAATTAACTTTAGCCAAGTATGAAAACGGAGTTTGCACGATGGTTTCATTCTAACATGAGATTTCTGAACATCTAGTCACGGCAGACATATATACTACTGTAGAATTTCACAGTAGTACAATTAGTTTTCAATAATTATCGAACTAGACGCAGTCAGTGTTGTATACTAGGACATCCGCGAGATATAAGTTTCGTTTTTAATGACTACCTAGCTGCTAACATCAAATTTGTATTTAAATTTACAACTTACTAGCATTACAATTGTCTCCCTTGCTACTATCAACTTGTACATTTGCTTATTCATTGTGATTATTGACTCATGATAAATAGCCTTGATTTGGTTTAACATTTCTATATAAATATTCATGCATATTACAGTTTAAAGCCTGATAACGATCTAATTGAAAACAACACTACTGTTCGCTCATAGTTGTGTTGTTCTAATTTTCATAATCGGCCTTGAGCCCCCCCCCCTCTGCCACTACTGCCGACCCAAAGCCCGGATAAAGGAGGACGGCTGGTCGTGGGGTTAGCAACCCCATCCAGTACTGCTAAAACTTACTGTATATTCATCATTCAACCTGATATAAACAACGTTTTGAAAATCTAACCGTTCAAAATTTAAATGATTCTTATTTTCCCCCCTCTCTCTCTCTTGTTCTCTTTTGCATATCTCTGCTTAATTTAGACGAATTTTCCCATCATTATCAGTGGATGTATATGGTTTAAATCCAATCGAGGAGTATATTTTCTTATTAGACATGTTATTGATACAACCACATATTTTTAAACATCAAGGTGATCGATGGATTGTAAATAGTCAGTCAGAAATTTTGAATCAATCACAAACATTAGGTAAGTACAAACAGAGAAGATTGACATTTAGTTCTGTTATAAATGATAAGCCTGAATGTCTATACCAGCAATGTATTTTGAATGTTGACAGTTGAATCTAAGTGTTCTTGATAATACTTTCATAATATTGTGTGGGTGCCAATATGTTGAACCCACATGGCTTGTGTTGGCTTTGGGACATTCTGTCCGAGTTACTATTCTTTTGACCTTAATCAGCTGTTCGCTCAAAATCTTGGTTGTGTGTAAATGTGTGAAGGTGTGTGTACTCCTTACTTCACTCATCTTACATCTGGATTATTTTTATCTGACTAGAAATACTCAGTCATGCCTCATAACATTAGAATGCTTCACTCACCTTCTTCCCTTGTTCACTCCACTTTGCTTTACTCTGCTTTTACGTTTTGTGCCCTCATATCTGTCTGCATGAACGATAGCATGAAATAAACTCATCTGACTGAATCCACATTTTGCTTCTTATTTCTGCCGTCACACAGTCAGTCAGTTAGTTATAACGTAGAACTTCGTACATGAGTACATAAGTTCAGGTTGCCATCACCGCCTCAGCACAGAGAGGCAAATGTCAGATCAAATCCAATAGTGGTACATAGAGTAGAAGTATTAGCAGTAATGGAGAAGATTAGGGTTCGAAGATACGACTCGAGAAGTATGATTCAATGATATGACCTTAAAAAGAGAAATACAGAGATGATAAGGAACTCAGAAGGTTAGAATTTGGTAGAACACAATGAATGAATGCACCTGCGTCATTTCAAACGATTCTGAGCCATGTCATTCAAGGTCTCTAACCATCGGTGACTCTCGTCTCGCAGACTTCAACCAGCTCGTCACACAAACAAGGTTCACTTAAGCACATGGAAAGGAAGATTCATTTCATAACAAATTCGATTGTTGCTACAAATTGAAGTTAGATTGCGCGCTAAAACTTTATTATGTCAGATTTTATTTCTTGGATTATTGAATCTTCATTCAACAATCTCATAAAATCGTACTCATCAGAATAACTACCAATTTAGGGCTTGATTTTTGAACATCGATGAATCGCGATTAATACTGAACACAGTGTGACTAAGCTGTCGAGTCAAGCTATACAGAGCTGAGGTAATGACATCCAATGGTGTCGTGAAATCTAAAAAAATCAATGATTTATCTTTTATCATAAGAGAAAGATAAAAGAACGACTTTGAATAGTCCTTGAAGAGTTTAAAATTACTGTGGAAAAATGTATTCTTATTGACAGTTGCAATGAAAGTCTAAAATGTATCGGATTTTTGCCTATGTACATATATATTTATATATTCCGATTTACAAGGAACTATTCTCGAATGATACCGCACTTTTCCACTGCTCAGTTCGGCACTAATACTAAGTACCCATATATATTTTGTTGATAATGTAAAACTACTCATATAGGATTTCAGTAATCGATTGTGAAGATTGTTGAATTGCACTGAAGTTATGAAAATCAGTCTTAGTTGGACATGCGTTGGAAACCTGGAATAACTGTATGACTGTTTCGTTTTAGTATGGGACTCATCCACAGTACATATGAATAATAAGGTTCACCTAAGCACAGGATATGTGGAAATTGAAGGGACGATTTATTTTTTTCATAGCATACTCGAACTTTCATATAAAGTGGGATCAGATTGTGGGCCACTAAAAGATCATTGGCTGTTTACCAATAAAGACTAACTGCTCATATTAAATTAACTTAGAAAATGGTTACAGTTTACTTACAATATAATCTTCAGCTTGTTAAAGAATGTCTATAATCCAGCTTCAATTACACATTCTGAAACCATGAATAGACCAATGTTGGACCACCATTAGAAACCTGTAAGCGATGGACGGCCATTTCGTCCTCTGTGAGACTCATCAGCAATGCGCATCCACGACTCTTGCACTACACGGGATTCGAACTCAGAATCTTCGGTCTTGTTCGTGAACGCCTAACCTCTGGACCACTCAGCCGGCATTCGACGGTGTTGATCTCTAACTTGATCGATTCATGGAGTTGCGAAACCTCACATACTGTCTGCACACGGACGGGGTGAACTTCAATGGTCACGACTTCCTAATAGAACTCGGATATGATCCCTCATGAAGTTAGTCACTAGGCGTTTGCACACAAGACCGAAGATCCTGATTTCGAATACTGTGGAGTGCAAGAGTCGTGGATGCGCACTGCTGATGAGTCAGTCCCATACCAGGACGAAACGGCCGTCTTTCAGTGCTTCCAAGTTTCTAATGGCGGTCTAACATTCATCGATTCATGGTTTAAAAATGCGCAATTTAAAAATGTTCACAACCACGTAATACAGTTTCAGTTAGTACATTTTTTACACAAAACTAAGCATTCACAATTGAACATTTTTAAACATAGATAAAATTTTGTTCCTACATAGATATATTTTCTTCTTTTAATTAGAAGGAAAATATTACATTCAAGAGGAATCACCAAAAACTGGTGCCTATTGGATGGAATCCGGTGTGAATTTTACTCGTGTCAAAATTACAAATACTAAAGAATTGAAACCAAATAAAAATATGGTAAGTTTTGTTGATACAATCTAACAATGTCGGTTTTATGACTTACTTACTTACTTACTTACTTACTTACTTACTTACTTACTTACTTACTTACTTACTTACTTACTTACTTACTTACTTACTTACTTACTTACTTACTTACTTACTTACTTACTTACTTACTTACTTACTTACTTACTTACTTACTTACTTACTTACTTACTTACTTACTTACTTACTTACTTACTTACTTACTTACTTACTTACTTACTTACTTACTTACTTACTTACTTACTTACTTACTTACTTACTTACTTACTTACTTACTTACTTACTTACTTACTTACTTACTTACTTACTTACTTACTTACTTACGCCTGTTACCCCCAATCGAGCATAGGCCGCCCACCAGTTCCCTCCAACCAACTCTGTCCTGGGCTTCCCTCTCCAGTTCTGTTCAATGTTTGTTCATTCTTCTCATGTCTTTCTCTATTTCTCGGCATAATGTGTTCCTTAGCCTTCCTCTTTTCCTTTTGCCTTGAGGGTTCCAAGTAAGGGCTTGTCTTGTGACGCAGTTAGGTGCTTTTCGTAGTGTGTCCAGAACGCTTAGTGTTAATGTCGAAATTCAATCAATCCGAAATAGTTCTGTCCAATTATTGTTCATTCTTCTGATTAGTAATGTGTTCTTTAGTCTTTCTATATTCCTTTGACTTTGAGTACTCTTAGTGAGAGCTTGTCTTGTAACGCAGTTGAGTGCTTTCCTTAATGTGTGCCCTATCCACTTCCAGCTCTTCTTCCTGATTTCTTCATCTGCTTGAATCTGGTTTGTATTGTCACACAGTAGGTTGTTGCTGATTGTGTCTGGCCAATAGATCCTTAGTGTCTTGCTTAGACAACTGTTAATAAGCACTTGTATCTTATAGATGATGCATTTCGCGGTCCTTCAAATTTCTGCGCCATACAGTAGAACTGTTTCGACTGTTTATATTGAAAATTATGACTTTGGTGTTGGTTGATAGTTGTTTTGAGAAGTCCAGATCGTCCAGCCGCATCCCAACTAACCTCTGTGTACCCTGCTTCTCTTCAGATAATGACGCCTTCATAACCCAATTGACCATCAGGAGAAAGAGATAGAGTGAGAGCTGGCAACCCTGCCTCACACCGGCTTTCACCTCGAACGAGTCTGTGGGTTATCCTCTATTCACGATCTTGTAGTTTAATCCATCATAAGATTTTCGTATGATGCTGACTATCTTCTCAGGCACACCATAACGCCTAAGTAACTTCCATAGTGTCATCCTGTCGATCACTTTCTCGTAATAAATGAAATTCATGTTGAGTGGTCAATTCCATTCAACTGATTGTTCCACAATGATCTTCAGTGACGCTATTTGATCAATACACAACCGATTCCTACGAAATTCAGCCTGTTGACATTGAAGTTCGGCATCTACTGAACGCTTTATTGAAGATTTTTTATGTTAATGAGAGAAGACTTATGCCTATATAGTTCTCACACTTGCTGAGATCGCCTTTCTTTGGAATTTTGAAGAGGCGTCTTTTTCATCAGTCTGTTTATACTTGTCGTTACTGTTACGTCTTAAACGCGCTCTATATCTCAACATAATACATGTAATATGAACTTCACACAAGCTAATAATCACATTACAAGTTGATTGGTTGTATTGGATCGTCACTAAACGATTAAACGTAAATAATTTAAAAAATCACCGACTAATCAAGGATCAATTTACTGTAAATAAGCCAATTCGACGAAAAGGTTCTCATTTATTCATTAATATGAAATATCCAGCTTATTTATTATGATGTACGATGTCCTTGATCTGGACATCGTACATGCTAACCCCCTCGAACTTGCTACTTGACCTAGAAGACATGAATGGAAAAGAATTACTATCTAGCTGCCAAATCATATGTACAAACGTTCGTCTATATATGTGTTAACACCAGATCCGTAGAAAAGGAAGCCATGTTGGGGACATTAGATCCCCAGAACTCACTTTTTGATCTTATGTTTTAACACAATGGCTGATCAGTTGACCTTGAGATGACATTTTCCACCGGGAGAATCCTTGACTAATATTGGTTGATGTGCTATTGTAGTAGGCTATATGTATGGCTCTCTCAAGGACGTTTCTGTCATGCATAAATAAACTCGATTTCTGTACTTGTGGATGCTTGTAGAATACACTTTCTACGCCTTATCAGAACCATTTGTTATCGTTAGTCGGGCTTTAGGACGCTCGGATTAGAGTAGCCTATCGTGTCACTAGATCACTTGTCTTCGCTCTCGTTCACCGACTAAGTTGAACTCGTATTAGTTTCAAGTATATCAATCTGTCAAACATCACAAGCCATCAAGACACTTCTGATAGTCATCAAATGACCTGCCCATCTGACCACCTCTGATTGGCTCCCTATCTCTCCGTAAACCAATTTCTCCAGTGTTCTTATTTAAAACGCACACACATTTTTTTCAATCGTCAATAATCACTTCCATTTTGTACATTTTTGTCCCAATTTTTTCTTACTCATCTAGATTCATGTCAATAGTATGCATTATTATATACCAAGAATTTCTGTAGTTCGTTTAACAAACTTCCTTGATCATCATCAATCACAATCTTATCATCTTACATCCAATTCATCAAGATTATCTGATCAGTCAAATCATCTGGAATTAATTGGTTCATATATTATACCTGGTACACAATTCTACACAGTGACAGCTTATCAAAATCCCGACGTGATACGGATCAAAATCAACAATAATCCTTTTGCAAAAGGATTTCGAAATCGTCAAGACACTGATGATTTCAATGAGTTAGCTGTTTTATCCGTGATGAATTCCAAAAACAAATATTTAACAACATCATCGTCATCATCCTCACTGACATCAGTAATAGAATCCTCATTCAGATATTCTAAAAATAGTCCACAACTATATGAGTGAAGAGTAAAACTATGAGAAAAAAACTCTAATTTCAATTTATATTGTTTTGGTTTTAATTTTGAGCTTATTATTTTTTTTCCTTGTTTTTCAACATTGATCATTGAACAGAACATTTTGAAAATAATGTAAATATTTATTGAATGTGTAAAAATAGTAAATATACATTATCTTTTGTTTTAATACGATTCGCATGTTTTCTGTTTTATTTTTTTTGCATTTCATTTTTAACTACTTATAGTAGTACAATTGTTTAGAGGATAATAAATTGCAAAGCATATCTTTTATTAGACGTGGAAGAGTCATCTGTATAATTATGAGTGTTAATTTGATTTCAGACAGTGCAAATACTTAAAGATGTTGTATGTAGATTTAAATTACTGCCAGATTGTCACTTTTTCTTCAAGAAAATCATTCAAAGACTATATTAAAAAAAAGTTCTACCTAAAAATAGATAGAGCCTATGGAGAACTGTAACCAGAATTCTTTACTTCAAGTAGTATACGTCAGTGATGTCCACTCTCTCCATTCTTGTTTAATTTTGTCATAGACAAGCTATTAGAGTTAACATTATCCTCGTCAGATTTTTCATGGGTGGACCTTCTACAAAGGAGGATCCCTTACTAACCTAGAATATGCCAATGACATAGTTCTATTCGGTGAAGACGCTGACAAAATGGAGACTCTTCTGACTACCATAAGCAAAAATGCAAGAATGTTCGGGATGCGGTTTTCCTCATCGAAATGCACAGTGTTGCTTCAAGATTGGCTTGCGCCGGCATCTGAACTGGTGATATGGAGTGAAGTATTCGAGTGTGTTGACCGCTTCACTTATCTCGGGAGTTTCATCAGCGCTGATGGCCTAGTGTGTGAGGAAATCACAGCACGGATAAACAAAGCTAGATTGGCTTTTGCCAATCTGCGCCACTTATGGCGTAGGCGAGATATCCGTTTGATGACTTAAAGGACGAGTCTACTGCGAAGTAGTTCGCTCCGTTCAACTATAAGGGTTTGAATCAGAGTCAGTCAGAGTAGAAGATATTTGTAGATTACTGGTATTCGAAGCATTGCTCCTGTATCCTGAGACAACCGAGTAAGCAATGCTGACATCAGGAAACGAGTATTGGGTAAGGATGGCAGATCAGTTGCAATGGTTGGGAAATGTTTCACGAATGCCAAAACGCCGACTGCCTCGAGGAGCTATGTTTTGTGGTGTAGGTTGAAGCTGGAACAAGGTTAGGAGCGGCCAAACCAAAACATGGCAGATATCCATGAAGTCACTGAAAAGTGAACTGAGTTATGTTGGTAGCTGTCGACTAATTGGTTGGGGTTCACGACGCGAAAATCACCAATGGTTAGAGACTCTGAGTGACATGGCTCAAAATCGTTTGCAGTAGCGTAGATGCATCCACTGATTGTGTTCTCTCAAATTCTAACATTCAGAATTCCTCATCATCTCTATGTTTCGCCCTCTATTGAATTTGAATTGACAATTGCTTCTCTGTGCTAACATGGTATGGCAAGTTGAACTGATATACTCATGTACGAAGTTCTACGTTGTAACCTACTGACTGATAAAAACACATTCTGTTGTATATATAGATTGGTAGAATTCATTCAGCGCATCTTATTGACATTTTCAACTTGTAACATTTAAACCATAAAATGTGGATCCGCTACTATTTTTGTATTTGTAAATATCATAACACGAACCGACCAGTTAGATAAACAGGTCATTTATATGTTATCTTTATTGTGTATCATAGTAATATGTGTCTTCTCGTTTCACTCATTGACATTTCGGTGAACAAATGCCAAGTTCAACTTAGTTTTCTTTGAGGTTTTAACATTTACTATGTAACTACCGTACACTTGAAAGTACATACCTCCACTTGTACGTGTAGTGAACGAGAACACGGGTGGGGCAACCGAATTGTATTTAACGAAAATTACAGTTACTCAGTAAAATTGGAAAACCATATCGTAAATCGTTCATTTGCAAAATATCAATCCATCATATTGAACTGGACTGTTCCTGTTACAAAACATCAATCCATTGTCACCATTCATGCGTTTCATACAAATTCCATTGTGTTCTAACTCTTCCTTGCTTGATCTTGCCCCATCTGCTGCCAGACATTACGTTGACGCTCACGTCAGTATGTACACACGGAAACACTGTGTAAGTCTTCGCTACTTTTTTAGTGATCAGTAAGTGTAATCACCCTAGAAGATAACTCACAGGTAACATCTATGATGATAATCAGAGTTAAAATTAAGCAGAAATCCCAAGTCATCCACATGATTATACCTATTCTTTCGCTGACGAGTAACAACTAGTACAAAATCTATATCGTACAAAGATTCATTCCATTCGCTTTAAATCGCTCAGTATGAGGACATCCGTACTCAGTTAACAGATTTTAAAATAATGAGATTGTGACTAATTGTTGCGAGATTGACAAATAAAATCCCGTTAAATCCAGAAGTCAGAAGGAAGACTGTGACTGGATGACAAGGTGTATTGTTTCGTGGTCTCATGATATCGAAATGATATCAAGACAGGAATAAAGTAGCAGTTAACAACCACCAAGGAAAAATGAGAAATGGGAGTAACACGCTTGGAGAGCAATGAATGTTCTTTAGTATAGTTAAACAAAAAGGGGTACAGTAAAATAGTTATTGTTACAATTGTTTACAATAATAGGTGTTTCCATTTCAGAAATTGTGTTCTCTTCATAAAAGCATTTCATTACAAAGTTCTGAACTGAATTTCATTTAGTCATAACTAATTTGTCAGTCATTAACAGATATTCAAGTTTGGTCAAACTTTTTGTTTTTAATTTTATACTGCTTAATATTATAAATAGTAGATTAATGAATTATGAAAATATATTACAATGTGATAAGATAGTTCTTTTGTCAACATCCAATTTATATCACTTGTAAAAACAAACTGATTTGTAAGTATGATCTTTCATTTATTCATTAGTCAATAATCTACCTTTACTACATTATATTACGTTAATAAAATTCAAATTTTAAGGGGGAAAAAGTTTGTTTGTGTATGTGTTCTATATTTGAAGCCTACAAATATCCCTTCTGGTCAGTAGGCAAGTCAGTTACAACGTAGAACTTCCTACGTACGTACGTACATCAGTTCAAGTTGTCATACCACATTAGCTTAAAGATTCAATTGTCAATTCAAATTCCATAGTGGTTGTGGTAGTAGAATTATAAGCAGTAATCAAAAGATCGAAGATATCATTCGAGAAGTATAATTCAGTGAAATAAATTTAAGAAAGAGATAAGAAAATGTCGTGAGCTCATGAATTCATAGTAGAACACTAAGGATAGATGTACTTGTGACACTGCTAACACTTTTGAGTCATGCCATTCAGAGTCTCTAATCATCGGTTACTAACGCCTTACGGACCACAATCAGGTAGTTTACACCTACTAACATGGCACAGTCCAGTTGTCGATGTGGTCATGAATTCGTGTTATATCATGGTATTGTCGCCCCTAGCTGTCTTCTAGCCTACCTCAACATCAGACAACATGGCTTTTCGAGGTGGTCTGTGTTCGGGCATACATAACACAAATCCTAACCACCTCAACATTCACTAATTATGTTAGGGATGTTAGATCCTCAGAACTCACTTCATAAAGGTTCTAATTTCGAATTTTGTGTTTTAGCGCATGGGTTGATCAGTTGACCTCGAGATTACATTTTCCACTCGCGAAATCCTTGAATGTTATTGTTTGATGCATTATTTTAGGACGCTATTTTTGTATCTGTCTCAAGGACATTTCTATGATGTATAAATAAACTCAGTTTGTGTGTTTGTCAACCTCGTATCTTCTAGGTGCTTGTAGAATACACTTTCTACACCTTATCAAGACTTCTTGATATAGTTAGCAGGACTAGAGGACAAACGGATTATAATGGCCTATCGTGTCACTGGATCATTTGTCTTCGTTATCGTTTACCGACTATGGTGAACTCGTAATAGAGTTTTATGCATATCAGTTGACGAGCGTAACAACATCATTAATTAATCTGCCATCTTTACCCTGGTACCAAGTATCGCCTTGATATCCCAGCATCACATTATATCTCTTACCCTGGTACAGAAAGATTTAAAGAATACAACTTATCGCTTTCACTGGACACTAGGTTCAATCAATTAGTTCATCATAGATGTGTATGTGTGCGTATACAATCTAGTCGGCATGATTGGAATGACACAAAACTGAATAACCTTTTATAAATATGTACAAATTCATATAAGTGTGTGTGTGTGTGTGTATGTCCGCAGATGAAACAACCAAAATTTAATAGAACATTGATTTGTTTATCTTAACTGATCGGTTCATGCTGTCTGTTTGTTTATGTGTGTGTGTGTCTGCGTGTTTTTTAAATACAAAAACAGAATTTCAATCAACATTCGGTTGTTTAAATGTTACAAGTTGAAAATGTCAACAGAGCGCTGAATGAATTCGTATCGATTTATCGATTCAGGAAAAATGTGATAGGACTGTAAATATTATTTTTTTTAATGAAGATTGATCACTGAAATCATGAATCAATGATTGTTTGACTAGCATTACAAAACATAATGATTGGGGATGTTAGATCCCCAAAACTCGCTTGGTGATTTCAAATGTGTAAAAACACAAACCTCCAAAAACTCTGCCCCAAAAATATCGTAACAGTGCTCACTAGTGACTACTAGCTTCATGAGGAAATTCTCGGAGTTCTAGTTGAGAAGACGTGACCAATGAAGTTCAACCCTTGTCGGGCGTAGGCAGTAACTACCAAAGACAATTACGGGTGAGGTCGCGTAAAATCCCTAGATCAATCAGAGTTAGACATTAACATTGTTGGATGCCGGCCCAGTGGTCCGATTGTTGGGCGTTCGCCTACAATGCCGAAGGTCCCGGGTTCGAATACTGCGAGGAGCAGGAGTCGTGTATGCGCGCTGCTGATGAGTCCCATA